AAATCTATTCCTCTGGCACACACAAAGTAAATCAAACCTACGACTTAGCCTATCATATAGCATGGATGGTTTAAGACACCAGAGTAAGAGGCCTTCACCCCTCACTTATAGGGGTCCAAATAAAACCTAACACTGTGCAAGTTAGTGGGTTATAACTAATGGGGTGCAAACCAGGGGCCGCACATACGGCGCCAGCCTCATTTCTCAACCACTGAGATGAAATCCCTGTGGTCTGCAGTGGAATCACGGATATCTGAGTGTTGTACAACGCACCCAGCATTTAGCAGGATTATATATATGTGTTACAGAAGGCGTCATTGGATAACAGCCCTACTTTTCCACTGTTGTCCTGTTCCAAACTTCGGGGTTGGGAATTGTACAGAGCAAGCAAATTATCGCTGTCATCTTCTGCAAATACAACTGTCCTCCATGTCAAGTCCAGGACAAGACTCTTCTGCCCTGGTTAATCTCTTGCTGTCACAACATTTCATTGTCTATCTCACAGCTCGGGCACATATTAAATGCATTTCAAATCAGTGGTGTGGAGCTGAGCTGCTTTACTTGCATTGTCCATCAATGTAACCTGACTCATCGAGGTCTACAGCATCTTCCTCTCCAGATCCATCCTCTCAAGAGATTCAAAAGAGGCAGATTTTCATTACTTTTTATTGCAGATCACTTACTTTTAGTGAAAATAATACTGGTGGAAAGGTGTGGCTGCTCATAGTAAGTGGGGAAGTTTTCCAGCCAGTGTAAATTAACCCTTTGAATCTCAGAGAGGGAAGTGATTCATTTGCTGTGCCTGACCCAACAAATGTGAACCACCAGACATATTTTCTTATGAAAGCACAAGGACTAGAAGAGATCACTTACAGAACATGCAAAAAAAAAAAAAAATGACTGAGGCTTTCTTGCCCAAAGAAGTCACACATGCAAACACTTCATCAATTTTAAAAAGTGAAGGGCGGGGGGAAAACCAGGCAGGTCAAATTTTGTGCCTGGCAGTCTTGACAAGGTTTTCCTTCGAGAGGTTTTTGAATTTCTAATGTAGCAGATGGCTAAATTTAACAACCGAGCTTTTTAAAATATTCATGTGAAGCAGAAAATTGACTAGTTCTCTGTGAATCGAATGGTCATTTTAGGAGCAAAGTTCAAGCTTTTGAAATGCAGGAAGGAAAGATATTTTAGATCGAGTACAATCTTTGCATCAGTGAAGTATTTAAGTATGGGGCATGAGCAGAGTTCCTGGATATGATATAAATACCGGTAACACAAAGAAATAATTTAGATACATGGTCTACTCCCTAAGGTTGTGTTGCTTAATGTCAAACTTCAGGTTTTTGCATCTCAGCAAATGTCAGGTTGTTTTCAGCAATGAAAATTCACGTGTTACGAGCCTCAGGAACCTCCTGCACTCGTTATGGGGCAAAACACCTAAAAGATCCAGGCAATTCCTTTGCCAGAGACCCAGGACAGAATGCAAAAGATGACTATAAAATAGGCTTTGCTGCCTCGGGGGGACCATGCTCTCATGGGGGAAGGCATGGAGAAGGGGACTGCAGCCCCATCCCGCCTGTCCCCTCACCCCATGGGCAGTGGGGCTGAGGCTCGGGGGCTGCCAAGCCCCTGGTGCTGGGGGCATCCCGGCGGGATGGATCCTTCGACCCAAGAGTGGTGAGTTACCCCTGTGGTTTAGGAAAAAGTGCAGAGGATGAGATGGGCTGGGCAGTGCTGTGCGCCTGGTGCCCGTGACATGGTGCTTTCCTGCCAGGGAGCCCCCTTTGCCCCTCGCATCCCTGCTTGGCGCCATGGGGGTCCAATGTCTTCGCAAACACAGAGAGCAGTTTGGAGGGAGATGCTTTTTTGTGGTTTTGGAGTCCCAATACACCAGAATGAAAGTTTTCCAGACCCCCTGAAATAAACAAACGATAACAAACTTACTTCGGATCTGCTTCTTGATTTCCTTGGCAGGGTCCAACCAATTCTGCAAAGAAAATATTTCCTTTTTTCAATTTGAATTAGAAAACACAATAAACATTATTTTTAAAACAGCGCTATGAGTCAAAGACAGAACACGTGAAGGTCTGCCACCCCTTTCTCCTTGGAGCAGCAGCAGGCAGGGATAACACTGACTTTCAAGATGTGGCCTAGGGTAGAAGCAGGATTTTTATTAACCTTCCCAGAGGTTGAGGGGCTGAATGGTTTGAAATAAAAAGTTAAAAAATAGAAATTAGTAAAATAAGTCCACAGAAACCTTTTTTTCCAGAGTATCTTCTTGGAAAATTAAATTTCTACAAGCTTGTCAAGAAGGTTTTTGTTTGGTTGGTTGTTTGGTTGGCTTTTTGCTCTAATCCTGGAAGGGCTGAAAAGCCTTGCTATAGGATAGGCAAGTGTGGTGCAGGGCACTGTCCCATTTGCAAGCCGGCATGGGTACGAGGGGCTCCCCAGGGGCAGAGGGAACAGTGGGGGAAACCAGAGGCAGAACTGCAGCAACGGGGCTGCCCCCATCCACACGGTGTAGAGCCTGGTGGCTAAGGCTAAGGCAAGACAAAACCCCTGCCGAGGAGGTGGGGAATTATCACAGCGATGCGTTACTACTCCATGGCAAGGAGCAGATGAAATTCCCCTGGAGGAGACGGGCAGCAGCCTGGGGTCTCTTAGTGTCACTGCTGAAGCCAGAGCTTACAATTAAGCGAGCAGCCTGCTCTGTACCTGCCTCTCAGGCACTGGGAAGGTAAAGGCCCCATGCTTCTGCCTTGTCCTCTAACAGAATTAAATTAATATTTAAAATGCGTCACACAGCCCAGAACAAAAAGTTTGCTTCCCCTAGGAAAGTTCCACTTTCTCCAAAGAAAGATAAATAAATGTATCAGAGAAAAAAAAATACTAAAGAAATATCAAACAAGCAGAACACAACAATCCCCCCCGCCCCCAACAAAAACAACTACTTTGCAGCTGTCCAAACCCTGTCTGCGGCGCAGAACATGAGCCTGAAGAGCTCCAGCTATTGCAAAGCATGAAAGCACACTATGCGCTAAGAAATTAAAGATGCATCAGGATTTCTATTTTCAAAGGTGACACGTGATGTGGGCACGTATATCGTCAGGCTGGAAGTTATCTGGCAGTAGATGGAGGTGAATTGTACCTTGATATTAAAAATACGCATGTTATTGATCAGTAACTGCGGTGGCAGGCAGTATTCTTTTAGCTGGTTAGCTCTGTGAAATAACTGGTGATCTATAAATGTTTAGGGCTTCTAAACCACCTGTTAATAATGAGTATGTTCTCCTCTTTCCAGTACAGGAAAGCACACCTATCTGGAAATGTATTTAAACATTTGCCTAACTTTCACCACAATTCAAAGCTAAGCATATGCTAAAGTGTTATCTTGCACTGGCACGAACCAAGTGTCTGCTTAAGTGATTTTTCTGAATCAGAAACAAAATCCTTATATTTAGAAGTCTGTGAAGAAAGAGGAAAGGAGGGGAAAAAGGGACTGATTTCTTTTGTATCATATATAGATACAAAAGAAACCTAGAAAATAGAACAGTTGTTCTCACATGACATATACAGCTGAAGAAGCAGTGATAGCTCCAGCTGCATGGGGGAAGACCCTTTAGGCCATGCAAAGCGCAAAACACCTTCACCTGGTGAGCTCTGCCAGGCTACGCCACATACTGCAAAAAAGTTTTGCTGCTAGTTTCTTTCAACATATTTCTCTTAAAATGCCAAATACACACAGCATATTTTAAATTATCCTTTGATAGTCTCCCTTTTATCATAACATGTCCAAACCAATACAGATAATGTCTCCTGCACATTAGATCATCTTTGACACTGTTAATACACAGCTTGCTTAATAGTGAAGCTGAGATGCAGGCAAGCAGAATGTGATTCACTATTGCTGCCAACTGCTCCTGAAGACTTATGTCTTTAGCCAAATCAACAATAACACTCAGATAAAGCACGTCAAGACTTAAACCCTTACTTTATCTCAGCAGTTAGCAGGAGCAGTCAATCAACTCCTGCCTATCTGGATCCCAACCACAGTATTATTAAGCTGTTTTTTAGTATTATATGTTTTGTAGGTTATCTGCAAATGTAAATCTGACTTCCATCTATGGCAGTAATGAAATCAGTCATACTAGAAAGAGAACCAGCTGTATGATTAACTTCTTTCACGTCATAAATAGCCAACACAGAGGGAAGCCAGGGGAACACAGGGGATGCTCCAGAGAGGTACCAGAGTTACAAAAATCAATAGTTCAAGCTCTGTCTATGGAACCTGGTGAGGAAGGTGACAACTTGTGAACTGTTCGCAACTGTCTGAGGGGTGGCTTGCGGAGCTCTGATGTCCACATGCCAAAGGCCAGCTACAATTTTGTGGATTACCTTTTGGTTTTCTGTGTCTCTGTATGTTAGCCCGAAGTAGTCTTTTTCCAAAAGGTTCAGATGCTCACACACTTTGTCAAATAGCACTTGACCTCTGGAACGTTTCTGTGGGAAATGAACAGGAGAAAAAAAAATCACATTTGCAAAATAAAGTAATATAAGCATTAAAATAGCACCTTTTCTGTTTATTTCTCAAATTGATAGCCCCCAAATTGTTTATTTAAACTCATCCATCTTTCAAACCTGCTGATCTGGAGCTTCATAAGAATCTGCCAAATGGGGCAGATCTGCTTTCCATAAAAGTTCGTGTCAACTTGCAGAGTTAAAAATAAGTCAATACATGTCACGTTTCAAGTTTCAATTAAAAGATCTCTTCTGTCTTTCAGAAATTGCAACTTCAAATGCATGCCGAGGCCACATCTCAGCAAACCGCAGTGTTCTTTGTGTGCCACAGAAGCAACAAACCATGGTCCAAAACATTCCCGGTCATGGACTATCAGAGTTGTGACGGAGGAGCCATCCACTGGAGGAAAAGCTGAATGTGGAGGTTATTCCTTGCTTCGGTATCAATGTGCAGTGATTCCAGGATCCTTTTTTTTTCTAATATATGGGGAAATATGACACATCATCTACTGGAATCACTGGCAGAGCCTAGTATCTCACTGGGAACGCAGCTGGGTGAGAAAGCAGCTTTCCAGTGTCCCACTAACCTTCCTGACTGCTAACGCGTTAGATGAGAAGATCTCTCACTGTCACAGCCAGAGCCCTTAGCAGAAGCTCCATAGTATCTCTTGTATTGGATGGTAAAAATTCAGGTCATCCTACTTCTCAGCGTCATATGTGATGTTGAGGAAAAAAAAAAAACCTCCAAAAAACCAAACACAGACAGAAATGTCCTCTTTATAAGCTACATGTGCCAACTTTGATATGCATTAATTACGATAAACAATTCAAAATTATTTGGGCCACTGTTTCATCACTGCATGCTTCCCTACATGCAACGCAGCTAAAGAAAAAAATCTCCCCATTTTGTATCACACACACGCACGTACATAAATATTTTAGCTGATGTCAGCGCCGCAGTTTCTTTATCTGTAGTGTACACATGACTTGAAGCAGACTGGAAATACGTTACTTGCTTCAAACGCAGAGCAGGAGGCTGACACAAAAGAGGAGGGAACGCCGCTTCCGAATTTACGTGCCTCTGCCGACAGAGCTGTGCCTGTGCTGCGCTGCCAGCCCGCAGCCTCGGCCGGGGGATGGATGTTTCACAGTCCAAGCCGACAGAGCTATGCCAACAAACCCGGGGAGCCCAAGGCTGGCCTCAAACTATTTTAGAAGTGGTAAGCAAGCCAAGAGTAAAGGAAAAAAAAGAATTGAGGGATGCTGCCTAACACCCTGTGATAACATTACGAGAGACGATGGATGGAATTGTGCAGTGTAACCTACTTTATGTTAAATTCGGTATTTCTACTGGGGCTCTGATGGTATATTAGGAAACAGGGAAATATCCTCTACCTTTTTATCGCTGGGGAAACTGAAGAGTGTGGCTGATAGAGTCTAGCAAGTGCTATCCAGATGTGTGAAAAAAACAGGCACAGCAGTGCCTTGCAACCATATTGCTGTAACTTCATTTACTGTGTCTTCCAGCATCATCTGAGCAAACAGCTCTAGGGCCTTGTTCTGCTTGTCACATGCTTTCCACCCTGCAGTCAGAAGCATAAGCATACCCCAGCTCCTTTAGAATGTCAAACAAATGTTTAGTTAATTCTACACACCCCAAACTTGGAAGTAGATAGAGTAAGAGGTTGGTGGTCTTATACTGGATGCTCCACAGAGATGATCAGGTGGATAAAGAAGATGGTACTACCGCTGTGCAGAGAGGAACACAGAGCCTCCAAGCCAAAATTCAAGCTATAAGCAGAAAGTGCCACACTTCGTGCTTTTCTACTTGATAACAAACCAAGTGGTTATACCGAACGGGGAGAAATAAGCAGGTTAGCTCTGTAGGATATCTGCTCTGAGACACTAAGCCTGCACCACTGCCCTGTTTACGTGTGTATTTGAATTGTGACACTTTGATGCCCTCTTAATTTTAAGAAGTCACACAAGGCCAACGCAGGAGCCGTTTTATGCAGCCGATCTGTGCAGCTACCCAGACGTCAGCTTTGCGAAAGAGCAGCTAGCAACTGCAGGGTATGATGGTTTAGTAGGGAGCTGCAGGAAACAGCTGTGTGGGGCTGTGCCGCAATAAAACCCAACCAACCAAAAAAATAAGCCAAACCCCAGCGCTCAGGGTGTCTTGTTTGGCTACACACTGCGGGCAAGTGAGAATAGGTAGGGGAAGCCTGGAATAATTTGCATGGCTCATTTTTTTGGCCGTGTCAAAATGTATCCTCCTCCTCCTCCTGTAGGAAGAGGCCCAAGCTGTACTCAGCCACTTTCCATAAAATTCCCGCTGCCTCAGGAGACGGGAAAACCCTGCTGGTGCTGCACAAGGATGTCAGAAATACCACATATAACTGACAGCCCTTCCTGGTCAGGGTCCTCTCTTCAGCGGACACCAGGTGTGAACTGGTGATGGCTGAGGAGAAACTGAGGGGAAGCCTGACCAGGACCACTTTCCTTCCCACTCTCCACAGAAACACCCATCAGTCTCCAGACAGACGAGCCTCACGTTGCAGCCTCGCTGCTGCCCCTGAGCGCCTCTTTCCAGGTCAGAGCTGGCCCATGGGAACAGGATTTAGAGGTCTCCTGTCATTTGGGGAGCGGGGGCTGCCTGGCAGTGGAGCCACCACTGATGCCCTCCAAATCCTCACGTACCTGCGTAGATGCAGCATGGTCGCTTCGTACCCGCACAGCGTTAGTACGCACACCCCCCTTCCAAACCAACGTTGCACAAAAACACAGTGAGGGGAGGCTACCCCATTAATCCATGGGAAATTAAAAGGCTGAATTAGGAATATAGAATTAAAGCAAGTGAATGGACCTCCCATGTTCTTGTTAATTGCTTTGATTTTACTGCATGCCCAAATAAGCATGCCAGACAAGGCATGGGTATCGTTGGTTTGGCAGGGCGAGAATGGGAGGAGAAGGAGAGAGAGGCCAAATTGATACAGCTCCTCAACCCATCCTAAACCTTTGCTTCCCACCATTTTGGGGTGACAAGTCTAAGGGGATGAAAGACTGACAGTCTGTTGATTACTGTGTTAATGCCAAAAATGCCAAGGAACTCTCAGCAGTCCAAAAAATGTGGACTAAAAAAAACACCCCCAAACCCATCAGATTTCATGCTATAAAATACTGGCCATGTAAATGAAGAGTCTTTTTGAAAGGTAAATATGGCAAAAGTCTCCTCCAGAAATATTCTTACCTATTCTTCAGGCATGAATGGGATGAAATGAAATGTGCAGATGTGGAAAAAGGGACACTTTGCTTAAGCTTTGGGAAACCCATACAGCAGAAAGAACACAAAACATTGAACAGTGTAAATGAGTACAAAAGTCCGGGAGCAAAAACTTTACACCTTTCACAGCCTCCTCCCTGCAGCTCTATAAAGGCCAGGGCTCTCGCTCAAAGCTGGAATGGGAATAAACAGCCTCCTGGTCAAGCTCCCAGTGAAAGGAGCCAGCAGCAGTGAACTTGGCAAGCCTGCACCCGCCAGCAATTCCCACACGCCAGGGAGAGGAGAAATTACCTCTCTCCTCACCAGCTTCTCTCCCTGTTTTGTAGCTGAGCCTCTCCTTCCTCGGGAGGCTGAAGGCCACAAAAGGCTCTCCTGTCCCCTAACTGGCTTCTCCAGAAACAGTCTACGCTCAAATCCTTCCACACTGGCTTCTTCAGCCCACATGCCTCCACCCCCAGCCCCTTACAAGACCACCAGACCAAGATAACACCTTGTACATCACTGAGAGTGAGGAGCTCAAAAATTAAGTACTTCCACTTTAGCTCTGCCTGGATAACGAGATTATTATGAAGTCAATTATTCTCACTGGTGAACATTTGGGTACAAGGTCTGCTATTTCTCAATACAGAAAAATAATGAGAAAGTTTTCCTTTATTATGATTAAGCCCATAAGCTGTAATATACTTATGATAAATGAACATTATGAAAGTGAAAAAACGCAAGCCTTTGTTATAGATACGTTGTCGCTTCAGTCACAAAATGAGTATTGCGCATTAATATAAGCACGGAATCACAGATCGGCTGAGGCTGGGCAGGCACCTCTGGAGATTGCCTAGTCCAACCCCTCTGCTCCCGCAGGGCCACCTTGGGAAGGTTGCTCAGGATCATGACCATTTGGGTTTTGAATATATTTAAGGATGGAGACTCCACAGCCTGCCTGGGCAACCTGTGCCAGCATTAGACCACCCTCACAGTAAAAATGTTTTCTTCTTCTATTTAAATGGAAATGCCTGTATTTCACTTTGCATCCATTGCCTCTTGTCCTGGCACTGGGTACTACTGAGAACAATCTGGCTCTAACATCTTTGCTCCTCTCATCAGATATTGATACACATTGGTAAGACCCCTGAGCTGTCTCTCCTCCAGGATGAGCGGTCCCAGCTCTCTCAGCTTTTCCTCCCAGGAGAGATGTTCCAATCCCTTTCACCATCTCTGTGGCCCTTTGTTGGACTCCCTCCAGTATGTCCATGTCTCTCTTGAACTGGGGAGCCCAGAACTGGACCCAGCACTCCAGGAGTGTCTCACCAGTGCTGAGTAGAGGGGAAGGATCACCTTCCTCGACCTGCTGGTCACACTGCCTAATGCGGCCCAGGATGGCACTGGCCTTCTTTGCTGCCAGGGCACATCCTTGACTCCTGTTCACCTTGTCATCCATTAGGACCCTCAGGTAATAACTGCTGTATTGCAGCAATCAAGCTACCAAAACCATATGTCACTGCACTGTCATAAGCAACAAGGAAAATTACATGGGAAATGAGCAACCAGCACTGTAATACAAAGATGTGACACCAACCTCCTTGTCATGCAGGTGCTAGTAAGACCCCAGGAGCCCTCTTTGCCATTTAGTGTGGTGTAAGGAAGAGATCAGGAAGATTTCAAATGTTATCTGCTGGACAATGCTCCCCAGACTGGAAGCTAG